TCTACCTGGTTGAGATCATAGCCCTTCACCTTGAGTGTCTCTCTCACAATTTTTGACTTGAGCTTTATCCCTATCGGCATCCCTCGGGTCTTCTTCAAGATTGTTTTCTCTGGAGGCTCTTTTGGTAATTCGGGGTGATCTTGTATCGGTTTGCCTGACTTGTCGAGCCATCTCGTGAGTGGCAGACTATCATACGTTTCCTCATCCATGAAGGAGAAGCCCTCTTTCATTTCCGGCCTATTCGCCTCCCTCTGTTCGTGTCTTTCGTAGAACTCCGTCTTCTTACTCAAGCTATCGGCATTTTGATGTTTGTCCCTTGTTCTGTGCTCAATTATCATGTTGTACCAGTACAGGCGAACTATCCACCTCCCAATGTAGCTCTGGTCCATTGAGTTCGTCTTCAGCCAGCTGAGTGCCCTGTTGTCGACTCGCAGCTTGAATGGCTCATTGCCTAGGTATGCTCTATATTTCTCGACAAAGGACGTACGCACCTTGGACCAGAGCTGCGTACGTCCTTTGTTGATCTTGGGCCAACCGATGTCACTTTTCGTTGCGACGAGTTACATTTTGTCTTTGACTCCGTAACTCTTTTTTCAGCTATCGGTACCCTGCTCCGTCTCATGCAGGGTTTTTATCCACAATTATTTCTAATTACAATATTACTATTTACAAAGTCCTATTCTAAGAAAAAAATTTAAAAAATTTTTTTCATGATAAATAAAATGATAAAGAAAAACAACGTTCCTATTCCCTTTAAGATTTATTAAAATTTTACTAATTCGTGATCCCAACAGAATCCGATCTATCGCGATTTAACGTTCCGACTAGTCCTATTGCTTTTGATTTAGTTATTTCGACCTGTCTTAAGACCCTTTAGTACCGTCACATCACTTCTTTGTACTGTTTCTACACTTCTTTGTACTGTCCCAACACTTCTATGTACTGTCCCAACACTTCTATGTACTGTCCCAACAATTTCTGGTATTGTCCCAAGACTTTCTGGTACTGTCCCAAGACTTTCTGGTAACTGTCCTAAGACTTTCTGGTACTGTCCCAAGCCTTTCTGGTACTGTAGCAAGACTTTCTGGTACTGTCCCAAGACTTTCTGGTACTGTACCAAGACTTCATGGTACTGTCCCAAGACTTTCTGGTACTGTCCCAAGACTTTCTGGTACTGTCCCAAGACTTTCTGGTACTGTCCCAAGACTTTCTTCTCCTGTCCCAAGACTGCCTGTCCCAAGACTGCCTGTCCCAAGACTGCCTGTCCCAAGACTGCCTATCCCAAGACTGCCTGTCCCAAGACTGCCTGTCCCAAGACTGCCTGTCCAAGACTGCCTGTCCCAAGACTGCCTGTCCCAAGACTGCCTGTCCCAAGACTGCCTGTCCCAAGACTGCCTGTCCCAAGACTGCCTGTCCCAAGACTGCCTGTCCCAAGACTGCCTGTCCCAAGACTGCCTGTCCCAAGACTGCCTGTCCCAAGACTGCCTTGAACCACTGTACCTTGTACCACCACTCGAGCTCTAGTAAAAATTTTCCCAAAAAAAACCCAACCTTACTGGCCAAAAGTTAAAATCACCAATCCCCTTGTATTTATTTCCTTTTAATATTTTGCCGCAAGTTGAAACCCAACTTGTTCTAGGTATCTTGTGATCACCTGTTTGTCCAAAATCGATTGAAACTTTCTTATCCAAAAGCGTCAAAAATTTAACAGAGAGAAAAAAAAATGAATATCGATGAAAACAAAAAAAAATTGTACCCACCTAAAATTCAAAGGTGACTTATGTCAGCCCTTTATCTGAACAACAACAAAAAAAAAATGTCTGGTACCTGATTGCCACGCGTTCTCCTCCCCCCTGCTAGCGAACTTATGGGGTATCACAAAACTTGTCTATGTCCGTTCCCCCCTCCCGATCCGACCAGGGTACCTACCTTAATTCGTTGTTAAATTCGGATATCCGCTTCTTTTAACCGACGCGTGTAAGAATCTAATGTAACTAAATCGACGATGCCGATCAATTAGTTACTCTAATGTGTCCCTCCTTTTTACACTTTACAACCACCAACCTCTAACCTAACCAGCCCCCCTTCTAACCTCCCCCCTCTTTAGCCCCCCTCTTAAGCCGAAAATTCCCTTAAGCGCTGGATGCTAAACCTCTCGAGAGAAAACCGTAGACCTGTTTCCAGGCCTACTTGAGTAAAAACTTCCTCAAAACAATGGGGTTCCGCTTATCCAATTTTACACTTATCTCCTATAATGTAAATGGATTTTAACGATACCCGTTTGACCAACTTGAGAACACGTCCGTCTTCTCTAGTTGCTCTGACCGTGCTGGTTGTTTCCTTGACTTATCCTGCAGCTGATCACCAGCACCACTCTTATCTCCGCCTAAGTCCCTGTGAACCACTTTCCCACTCGAATGGTCACCTGTTCGAGTCAAGTCTCCTAATGGTCCAGCTAAGTTGCAAGCTTTCTGAAAACCCTTCACAACGCCCCACACTTGGGCATCTTTCACATTGCTGAAATGATTGAAACGATCGGTCTTATAAAAAAAAACCGTATGTGTATACTATTTAGTTAATATAAAGGTTTGATCCAACTAATTTGGTGTCAAAATCACTGTCATTTTTTTTCTTCCTTTTTCTGTTCTTTTTCGGTTTTTGTTTCGCTTTTTGTCTTTTGTTCGTTTTTTCGTCCCCCCCTAGTAACCCCCCTTTACTCGGTTAGCTAAGCCTCGTTCGGAGAGCGTACCAGGAAGTTTTCTCGAGTTTTCTTAAAAAGCTATCAGGGTACAACCGGAAGGCTTACACGTTCCCGCTGAACCGTACCACCGGTACTCTAGAATGGGCATGTAGCCCGGAGCTGCGTCAAGTGGGTTCGACTCCGTAGTCATGATGTCGTAAAAACACCCAGGAGCGCCATAAAAACACTATGTAACAGTCGCCTACTTCGGTCACATTTGAGGCTTAAGAAGAATAGGCCCTATAACCATTGGCTCAAGAGTCAGGGACACTATCTCTCGTGTTTTTCTACCTCAAAACCTAACCTAGTCGGTAAAAACACTTTAAACCCCCAGTTCCGTGAGATATCTTCCTTACCCTTTAAAATGGGCGGACTTAACATAAAGCTGCCATCCGATCATGAAAGCTACCTAGAATGGTCTAAGGAAACATCGCTAGTACTGGAATCTCAAGATCGTATTACAGCAGTAACACAGCAAGAAAAAATATGTAGGAAAATCAAAAAATTGAAAACTGATAGAACGAATCGAAAAAAAAACAAACCTCATTAACTCCTTAATTGAAACAGATAAATACGCAATCGACCTGGCCTCTGAAAAGAGAGCCTCTACCTGGCTCAATGCTCTACCACTGAGCAGATACAACTTCAACCTGAATAAATCAGAGTTCAGAGATGGTATTTACCTAAGATACGGATGGGAACCAACCAAAACCCCACTCACATGTGCATGTGGTGCTGATTTTAATTTGACACATGCGCTTCACTGTGCAAAGGGTGGTTACACACACATAAGACACAAGGAAATTAGAGACACATTCGCCAACCTCATGAACGAGGTTTGCCATGACGTCGAGATTGAGCCGAAACTTCAGCTGTAGCAAAGCGAAAGCTTTGTCAACAATTCAACTACAACTGAAGATGAGGCACGACTTGACATTAGGGCAAACGGACTCTAGGGTTCACGATTCAGCCGCGCTTTCTTTGATGTGAAAATTTTCAACCCCCATGACAAAACATCGCGAAAACTGCATAAGGATGCATACAAATACCACGAAACGCCGAAGAACTCCAAATATCAGCAAAGAATTTTAAACGTAGAGCAGAGTAGCTTCTGCCCGCTAATTTTTGGATGCACCGGTGGCACTGCTCCAACAGCCACGCGGACGATGCAGCGATTGGCCGAAAAACTAAGTGAAAAAAGACAAGAAAGCTATCCAGAATCTATAAACTACATAAGAACTAAAATAAGCTTTGCGCTCCTGAGGAGCTTTATACTTTGTATAAGGGGGTGCAGATCGCTACGCAAAGTTCAATTTATCGACAACTCCATTAGCGCTATTGTAGAGGAAGGACGGCTAAGATAAATTAACATTACGACGATGCATTTAATGCTGATTTATGACTTCATTGCTGATATATATGCATTTTTATATCGCTGGTATGGCCCTATCCAGCTTGTGCACTTACCGTAACTAAACGGAAGGGCCCCTTTTGTAATTTAGTTTTTTTTCTCTTTTTCTGTTAAAAATGGCGGATCCGGCAATTCTCAGAAATAATCTGCTGAGAATCGAAAATTTTAAAATTCCAGAATGTTCTGACCCTCTTCTTCATAACGAATTCGTTTCTAACGCCACTAATGTCCAATTCGTTCTCGTCGGAGGGTTTGACTGTGCCAATCCGGGGGATTGACGGGATAATGTAATGAAGGGACCCCTGACTGTAACCTCGGTTACTATGATACTTTCTTTGTCATTTTGTCTATCTATTTTAAGAATGTTTAAATGATACCTTGTTAGTATTGTAAGTTTTTATCATTTCATTTTCTTTAATAAATGACATACACTTGCATATTTGAAATTAATTTCATTTTTCAATCTGTGTTTGTTTTTTTTCCATTTTCAAAGCCCAGAAGCATAATAATTTTCTATTAGAGATAAACTTCATTCTTCAGGAGCAGCTTTAGCTGCTGAGGGCTTTCTAGTTCAAATGATAACAAGTGAAAATGCATCCTGGCGTCTTGGTTTTTGGTCCGCAGCAATTTTTTGATATGCAAGTCAAACTTACGGTAATGTTGATGCAGAAATTGTTATATAAGTTGCCATTACGCGCACATCAATTTGTCAAACCATAAATTATGATTTTCAATCGGCTTCAGCATCGCTTTTTTCATTGGTTTGATGACAGCACAATTCCAATGTTATCACTGCATTTGATTAGTAGTGAATTGGAATGTAATTCTGTTTAATAGGAGATTTTTTTCAGATTTGAATCATCAATATGGAATCAGTTAACTGTAAGTAGCCAAACTTTTATAACGTGCTTGAAGTTTAAAAAAAGTTGGTAGGTTTTTTTGCTTATGTGTGTATGAAATTCTTCTTGCGGTGTCGTGTCCATGACTAAATACGCGAAAAGGTTTTAATAACGAAAATTTAATAGAAAAAGGTCATTTTGCGTAAATTAAATAGCGCCTCCAATTTCTTTTTTCTGCTTTTCAAAAATTTGATTCAAAATGAGTTTAAACTGAAAAGCAAGATTTTAAGTTGAATTAATAAAATTTGTTGCGAAAAATTTTTAATATGTGAAAATTGAAATCTAAAAAACCGACAGTAATGAAGGAAAACAGTTGTCAGTAAATAACCGGTAGTCTTTTCCTGGGAAATTAAGTTTTATTTTTCCCTGTTATTGTATTGCTTTATATGTAAAAGAATGGTTCTAAAATGTTGAAAATTTCAGGCTAATACGGAGAAAATTGGAAAAACTTCATCTGATAAATCAATTTTCTTGAAAAACTTGAAGATTGACAACATTTCGCAAAAACTGCAATCACTGGAGGCCAAAATTTTCCTGGAAAAGATTCAACGTCTGCTTAACGGGTAAAACCTTGAAAAATAACTAAAAATCGCTTAAACGTAAGATTCAAAAATCATAATTTTAATCCAAAACAATTGGCTTGAAAACCGACTCAACGATTCGTGTTATAAGATCATGGAAGAAGATTCATTCAATGCGTCTGCCAGCAACGACCCAGAACAAGTTGCGGTGCAATCGGTTGATATTGATACCATCAATGTCAAGCCCGAACACGAAGCTGCTGAACCGATTGAGGCCACGGAGAGCAACGAATTGGCGGAGAGCAGCGGTTTGAAGGTGGAAGAAGAGGAAGACACGACGCCAAAAAATGAGCCTATTACCCTTGAAGCCGAACCAGAACCAACTGGAACAAGTGCTAGTTTGGAAGAAAAATCTGAAAAATTACAAAAGATCCTTGAGAGAACTGGATATCCACATGAGAGGACACCAACTCAACATATATATGGACCTCCTCCGGGTCGGGAGGAGGAGAAGTTGCCAGCTGGAGTTCAAGTTCATGTGGGAAGAGTTTCTTACTCGGCAACAGAAGAGCAGTTAATTGAGGTGTTCGAGCAGGCTGGTGAAATTTACGAACTGCGTCTAATGATGGATCAGAAACATCCAGGATTCAAAAATAAAGGTTTTGCGTTTGTTACTTTTTGCACTAAGGAGGCCGCAGATAAAGCAGTCAAGTTGTTCAACAACTATGCTATCAACGGAAAGCCAATTTCCTGTGTAATCGCATCTTCGAACAACACGCTGTTTATTGGAATGATTCCTAAGAATAAAAACCGAGAGGAGATACGCCTGGCGTTTTCGAACGAAGTTCCTGGAATCGTTGACGTTCTGCTTCAGCCTTCTCTGAAAACAGCCGGCTCAACTGACAAGAATCGCGGATTCTGTTTTTTGAACTTCGAAGACTATAAAAGCGCTGCAGCGGCTCGTCAAAAACTGCGGTCAAAAATTCCAATCCGAATGTTTGATGATCACAAAACTTACACGTGCGACTGGGCTGACCCACAAGAAGAGATTAGCAGTGAAGTTATGGCGCAAGTGAAGACGTTGTTTGTTAAGAACATCAGCGAGCGAACTACTGAATTGATTCTCCGAGAACGTTTTTCGCGACATGGAGTTGTCGACAAAGTTGTCGTGCATACCCATTACGCGTTTGTGTTTTACGCTGACCGCGCTGATGCTGTGCGCGCGATTGAAGAAGAGAATGGTAAAGAGCTAGCAGACACGGTAATAAGCGTAGAACTAGCCAGACCTGTTTCAGAAACGCACCGAAAAAAAATCAGGGAATTGAAGGAAAAGAGAAATGAACATGTGCCTCCGATTAACGATGGGAGAGGAGGGCGTGGACGTGGAATTACATCAGGCTCCAGAAACCTGGCATCGAGGATGCCTCCTGGTTATGGCTACGGCAGAGATCCTTATGCGCGAGATCCATATGGACATGGACCTGACCCATACGATATGTATTATGGCTACTCTGGTGGACCGCCAATGAGAGCTGGTCCGTATCCCGGTTACCCTCCAAGAGGGGGACCCATGCTTCCCGGAAGATCTCCTGGAGGTCCTCGAGGAAGACCATTGCCACCCCCCACCAGACCAAGTGCTGTGGTCAAGAGAGCGTATCCACCACCTGATTATGGCGCACCAACAGCAAAAAGATCGAGATCTGATGTAAGTGGAAGGGGACCGCCGCCACCTATTGTAAGTCCAACAAATGAAAAATAAGAAGTGACTGTTTTAAACTACAAGTCAAATTCGCTTCTCAGATTTTTGTCCACGCGAGGTTGCTGTGTTAATTTTAATGTCAACCCGCGTTTTTCTTGAGAGGGATAAAATGTCTCTTCTTTTCAGTAATTAAGCATGTCTCAAGGTCACCTAAACATCAAGTTTGCTCGAAATTTGCTGATTTCCTTTTTCAATAACTGTCTGATCCACCATCTTAAGTTTTTTTGAAAATAAAAAATCTTTTTTTTTGTGGCAGTAGAAGTTATGTTAAACAGGTTGCTGTGGGGCTAACAGATTGCTCATTCGTAAAAGAAGCTTGAAAGGAGGGCGAGCTTAAGTCTGCGAAAACTTGTAGTTTGCTGCCATTTTTCAAAATTCTTTTTGGATTTATCTTTTTTTAAATCTGTTTCTGGCCGCCCTTTAAAAAGGTTTCTCAGAGTTCTCGATGGTTTCGCAACATTTTCTCAATTTCCTTGTTTATTTGTCGATCTATTCTTGTGCGCAAGCTTCTTTTTATTTTCTAAGTGCTTTCAACTATCACAAGGAGGTGAATTTCCAACAATAATTCTGTTTTTAGGTCCGGTGTTTGCATTATTGGAGCAATAATAGGGTATCCAAGGAGTATTAAATACTACAGGGTATTTTTGTGCGAGTGGTTTTTTTTAAATTCCAATTTCTCTTAAAGTACTTGAGATACAGTTTTGCAATTTTGTAGGAACATAGTAGACTGACGGATTGTTTCAAAACAGGAGTACTGTGATCCAGTTACTCCAACAAGTGTTAAAAGTGGCCTCCGTCTCGAGTTTGACAAAAATTTTTTCTTTCTTGGATATTATCAGTAGCTCTTCTGCACTCCATTTGTGATACGCTTTGGATAATGCGCTCCGCTCCACGCATGCCACGAGGTTCTCCGAAGACTGTTGACTGACTTTGAAAACCTCGTTCAATACAAATCCCGGAAAACCAGTAATTCAGAGGTTTGAGGTCTTGACTTTGTGCATGCCATTGCACGCTGGAATGCCTGCTGGTCATTGTTTTGAAACTGTTCCAAGTAAATGTGCGAATTTACAGACACTGGTCGTCCTTGCTAAGTGTACAAGAGCGAAGTGATTTTCCCTGAAATCGGTCTGATGATTTTCAAAAAAATTTGTAAATGCTAATTTTTGATTTTTCGTGCTTATGATTTCTGTTTTTTTTTTTCAAATTCACTTCATTTCCTTGGTTGAATGACAAACTCCACTTGAAGAGTTCGATTTAAAGGTCGTGAAAAACTAAAAATGACTTCCGGTTTGAAAATGGACATTTTTTTTTCTGAATTTCTAACGAAATAAATACGGCTTTCTCCAAATGGGATAACTTTAAAAAAAACTATGCCAATCATAAACATTATTTGAAATTGTATCTAAGAGTTCTAAGAGCTTTAACGTAAAATGTTTTTTCGAAATTTGATATCTGTTTTCGATTTTCTTGATTTTTTATACTTACCAACTGTCTATGGGCTATATTTGACCTCAACACTAAAACGGCCCAAAAACATCACCTCACTCCAAACATGACATCATTTTCCGTTTTTAGTGATACTTTTTTGAAATAAGTTGATTAGGACTTGAAAGGGCCAAGGTCTGGTAAGTCGCTTTCCGGCAGAATATTTTGCCAGATTTGATGGACCAATTTGGGCTTGTATGGCTTCCTTTTAAGAAATGTGCGACAAACTTGCTCGATGGTGGAGAGTGACAAACCCAACTCACGTGACCATTTTGATTAAATTGTCTGGATGCTCTCTAAAATACACCCGAATCAGATCACAACTGACTCATGGAAGCTGGGCTTATTCTCCGGCAAGGCCAATTTTTTGTCGATTTTTAGCTAAATTTCTGAAGGCTGTATATATTTTTTTATTTACCAATAATTGAATAAAATCGGACCAATCGAATTGGAACTTCAGCTGAAAAAGATTACTCCTTGAACCACTTTACAATGTTGATTTCTTAATCTGTTGTTTCCATTTCTTTAATTCAAACTATTTAACGCTTATAATGCAATTTTTTTTTTTTTACAAAACCTGCAGTTTTTATGATTACGCTTGTCGGATTACTAATAAAGTTTGGTTTTGTGACAATCCGTCACGTTCCTCTGCTCATACAAACAGTTTATAGCTTCAATACTTTCTGAGAACTAGTTTTGAAACACCCTGTAGCTGAATTGCGTTTTGTGGGGCTGCTCGAATAATAGTTGCAGTTGACCCATTTATTCGTAGCAATCCGTTTAGAAAGGTTAACTAGAATGTCGGATTTAACATCATCAAACGGAACACAGTTTGTTGTTACGACGCCCCTAGGGCTGGAAGGAACTATGGCGTAGGGTATTTCAATTTAAGTACCTCAAGTAAAGAGTGTAGTAATCAAGTGTGGTTTCATATTAAAGCCCTTTCAGCGGTTATTTGGACTCCAAAAGTTTTTCTCAGTGTCGAGAAAAATTGGTCCGACTTTTTGCAGACCAAGTTTCACGAAATTTGATGGCACAGAACACAATTTTTGTGAAACTCAATTTAATTCTAACATACTTCTGTCGTTTAGCAAAGTTGCTTCCATTCTTCAGATTTCACCTAACTTAATTGCCTTCGAATTTTGTGCTTAAAGAACGACCAAGAAATAAAATAAAATTTTCGAAAAATTATAGATTTTTCTATGTATCTAATTTTTGAATTTCTTTAATTGATTGATTAATGGTGGTCAGAATCTTAATTATTTCAAAGACAACCAATAGGGCTCTTTTTAGTTGCGTTAATTTTACCACAATTAATCCGAATTGTGGTTCACACTAAAAGTTTTAAACAATCTTGTTATTTAAATTTTCATGATCTAGTAGATGTAATCTGTATTGTTTTTTCAAGGGATCACGAGCGGCGCCGTCATCGTCCGCTTACGGTCACTACGCGTCAGGCTACGAATATACTACAGGGTACGGGGTGCCAGTCCCACCGGCATACGAGACCGAATATGAAACAGTAGAGTACTACACGACACCTGGATACGACTACTACGATCCATATGGAGGTTATTGAAGAGAAAAGCGCAAATCAGAAGCAAAACAGTTGAAGAATGTTAAACATCCGACAGTTTAAAGATCCAAATTGCGATAAGTTTGAAGCTATAAAACATCGACAACGATCCATGAAATTATTATCTGGTCCATCATGAATACAGAAACGAAATAGACCGAACATAAAAATTGTTTCGTGATTTCACAATTAGATTTAGATTTGCATGAAATCTCTGTGTACCGCCGTCTCTTGCATAAAAATGAAACCATATTGATGGAAAGGAATTAAGTTAGAAACTATGCATTGATTGCGTCAAAGTTTGGGATTTAAATCTGTCGGATGTTTCGGCAACAATAGCTGCTAAGACCTTGTTAATAAAATGTCTCTTTAAAAAGTTCTCCTTTGATTTATCTCGTTCAAACTCAATGTACCGTTTCAAATATCGTATGGTGTTTTTATTTATCTGTTCAAAATCAATTCTGTTTTCACAATGAAAGAGTGAATTAAAATGTTTTCAAGCTTTGATAGTTTTGTTGTCATTTGATATTTTTCGTTGAAAGAAATGATGTAAGATCACTGGAGTCCTTTAAAAGTTAAGTATATTGCGTTTCTTATTAAAAGTGACACTCAATCAAATATTTTATTGAGATACCATTGAGGTTGGGGAGAATTTTCAGCCATCTTTGAGTATGTTACATATTTTCAAGTTGATACCATTAGTTTCATTTAATTTCAACATTCTGGTTCAAGTAAAGGCACTTATAGATAAGAAAGGCATTTTTGCTAAATTTATCATCGCTGCCGATAAATTGTGCAAAAATTCACCCTTCAGGAAGCAATTTGATTTTTCTCCATTTCTGAACGGTACCAGGTCGAAGAAAGAGGGAAAATTGATAATGTTATTATATTTTTCCTAAAAGCATGAAATTAAAGTGTAGCAGATTATGATACCGATAAATTATAACTTGATCCCTTGGAGCTTGTTTTTTAGAACAGCAATTGCTACGCTAAAGTGCACAAGCTTTCAAAGTCTATTCAAATTTTTTACGGGTTCCGCAATTTCGTTTTGAACAGACACCTGCTGCTGACATAAATTGTCAGTTATAATTGAAAACGCCTCCCTTTGCTGACGAAATTTTCATTTCAATTATCTGTCTGATGGATGACCTATTAAATATTTGAAAGTTGTTGTGACATTTCCACAAAAGCGAGCATCTGAGGCCAATTTTTAAGTAAAATTGATAGACTTCATTTAGAGGCAATCATTGAATAATAAGTTATCCGAGAAACACTATTGATGAAAACACTAAAGTGAGTGACAATTATTCATTGAGTTTTGGTATCAAATAAAATTGAAAATGAACCAGCTGCTGTGTTCTGTTCTTTTTATTTCGTTTATTATACCAACAAAGCTTGTTGGATTCATGGGGGAGTATTCTCGAGACAGGCGACCCAATTTTGCATCAAGTAAGTATAATTTTAGCTCTCGATTTGTCTCATGTTCACAACTCAGAAGAATCCTGCACTGTGAAGGTATAAGAGAAGGTTTTCAAATAAAGAAAAAGGTTATGAACTTTCGTCTCGACTTTCATTGCTCTTTCCTAAAAAGAGTTACAGGGACCCTAAACCATGAAAACTGTTGCGCATTTGCTCAATTAGGCCGATGAGGAGAACGAGTTTGGTTGGAAGATTTAAAATCATTAGCACGCTCGAGCTTACAAGCGTTAGTGTTTTAGTAGGAACCTTATTTTTCTAACCTAACTCCAAAATAAAAGCGTTCATTGAAAATGTTCACTTATTGGAAATTTCACTATAGCAAGGAAATTGCATAGCATGTGTTCTATTGTTTTTCTGGCTAGTGTTTGGTAGTTATTAAGTTTGAGTGGTTAGTGTGCGAGACTCAATTTGTAGGTTGCAGATAAAATCAGGCTAATAACTAGTCTAAAAAATCACTTGAATCATTCGGGGCAACTGGTAGACTATCTGTTTCGATGGGATACCTGGCCAATGGATATTTCTGAGATTTTGAAATGGGCGTTTTTTAAAATATTTTTGATCCTAAGTTATCATTTTCAAATTTGACTCTTTTACGCCTAGTAATTTTGTATATCTTAGGTTTTCATATTTTTTTACTCAACGGTCGTTAACCGAATTTTTTGTTACCGCTTGATAAATTATATTTTAGGAAGTTTTATCAAATCGAAATAAATGCATTTTTGGGTTACGAACTTGCCTAACAATTATACTGAACCGTTTACTCAGCGTATTTTGATAATATATCAAGTTCGAGTTACTGATGTGATCTGTTTAGTGTGAAATTCACATCCATATTTGAGACGAGAAAACTAATGGGTTCTATTCTAGCCAGGATCTGGTTTTTTTTATTAAAATATTTTCTGGGGGATACTTTTAATTATTTGTCTCCTAATTTTTTGACAACCTGCATTCCAACTCATGGTTTCCTTCTATGTGAAACAAGTACTGCTATATAAATAAGACATTTTGGTTCAGTTCTGTAATTTCAAAAATTTTGACCTTTTTTGTTGGAATAATTTTTTTAATGCTTTTTTGTTTCACAAAGCGAAACTATTGAGTCAATATTTTTTATAGCTCAAAATAAATAATGGTAACGTTGTTCCGGTTCAACCATAACCTACCCACATTTACTCGGCCTAAAGGACGCTACTTTGTGTAATGTTGCTAAGTTCACGCTTTCGATTGTATTTCTCGGATTTTTTCCGCAAATATAACATCTCGGGAGACTTCATTCGAAGTTTTTTGAATAACTTTTATGTATATTTTTTCTGCCTTAGTTGCCTCGGCCTCAATTTTACATTTGAGCTGCAATTCAAGTGGCGCGGAGCCTTTCTTTGTCTCCGTTCAACTTTTTTCACTACTGACATAAATGTTTGGAGTATCGCGCCTCAAATTGAAACGCATTCGCGACTGACGTTTTAAATATTTTTTTTCTTGCGACAACAAATCACTCGTAATTAGCAACTAGTACTTTTCCGTTAAACAAATTGTTTTACAAACGACAAGCCTGGGGTTCGAGTCAAGACCGGGTCTTATTTTTGGCCATTTATTAATGGAAGTATGTATGTCTGTGCACGTTGCTCTATTATAATATTATAGAAAAACTACACTCTTAAGTCCACTTCACAATTGGTCTACAGGTAAACATGCAGCTTCGGAGCAGAAGTTCTGGGGTTCGATATCCGGCTGGACTGGGCAGTTTGTTTAAAACTCGAGAAAATTATGACTTTCATCAATATGCATCATAATTATCATTTTAGCCCCTATCACTTTTTCTCGAGATAAAGCACGCGTCTTCGGAAAACAAGGCTTACGGTTCGAGTCCCAGCCTGTCTTTGTGTTTCTGCAAGGAGTAGAAACTGTTTTCTTTAGAAAATTTGAATTGTCGCATTATCGTTTGTCAACAATTTTCTAAAGCATGATTTTTTTTCTGTAAAGCGCCAAAAAATGTTCAGGGAACTTAAAATATAATAGTAAAACGTTCTGCTTATTGTAAACAATCAACTCTGATAATTTTGGTCATCGTTTTGTTTTCGTTGTTTCAATGGGTTTTACTAATGCTTTATCGATTTAAATGTCTCAAATTGCATCGTTTCAAATTCAAGAAAAGATTAAAATGCTGTTTTGTTTCAAGAGGAATGGGGCTTACAAACTTCAATTTTCAAAGTTCATTATTTCATTTTTGGCTCAGCTGGCGTCTACCCAAGTTTTTTTGGCTGAGTTGCCGTCCTGTAAAAGGTTTTGAATGCTTGCTCAAAGACGGTGAAAGTATTCTTCGAAAAAAAATTCAAATTGAAGAGCATTCGAGACAAATTGAAGAAATTCGTTATTTTCCATATTTTGAAATTCATTTCCTCGGACTAGTTTTTTCTTCCTTATTTCCTGCCTGCTAATTCACATTTCCATAATTCTGTTGTATAGCAAGTCTTGTGAAGCTCCGTTTTGCCCGTTTTCAGTTTTCTTTACATTCTGGCTTCCGTCTTTTTTTGTCCTACTGCCTTGATAATTTTTGTTAGTTTGCACAAAGATTGAAGCTCGGCTTCGCCTCTGTAAAAAATTTTTATAATTAGTTTATGGTCAAGAATTGAAAACAAGCGCGCTGCCATGACTTAAAATGTGTTATCGTATTTCAATTAGAACTTAATCTGAATATAAGGATTGATAATATATTGGTCTGGACCTTGAAAACTACCATTTTGGTAAAATGATCTGAATTATCTGTACTGCTTTTAAAGACATAATGAGAGTGATTAGTGAATAAGCTTCAATTTTGGTTTAAATGAAAGAAATTATAAGTTTATGACATTACCCTAAAGTTGATTTACAATCCCGTACCCGGCGGATACTGTTTTTCTAGATAGAAATTTTATATAGATTATCTTGTCAAGTTTTCTCTTACTTTCTGTGCAGAAACGATCTATTTGGTTTCTAGACTTGAAACAAACAGTATCTGGAAACAATTATCCAGAAACCAGTTCACTGCTGAACCGCAACGAGAGTAGCAATACAATGCAAAATAACACTTGTTATAACAGATGTTACTTTGCATTCAATTGCTAAAACTATTTATCTTTACAAGGTATAAGGCCTAGTGGTTAGCACAACCGTCTAGCAAAATGAGGGTCGCGTTACTTTTTTTCTAGCTAGAATTAGCCTAATTTGGCTAATTTAAATAAAAGATTTGGCTAATTTTTGATTTGAAAAAATATAGTAAATAAAAAATTTAAGAATATCTCTGCTCTATTTGAACATTTTATAAAACACTACTGACTAGAAATTTAGATTTGATATAAAGTATTTCAGGCCAGAAATAAAGAATTTTCTCGGTACGGGCTTGTTTTACGATATAAGTTTACAAATCAACATCGTTTAACAATGAAGCATTCCAGCTGACTTTTAGATTACTGAAACTTAAGAATATGTATAATATAAAACCACTATGGTTCTTGTTTACTGGCTTTTGTTTATGGAAATGTGATACATATTTGTTAATTTTGATTCTATACTTTGACTTTCATCTCGTCTTCAAACTTTGAGGTAATTGATTTCATTTTTGACACATATTTTTAGCAAATGAAACCTCTGCCAAGTTTATTTGTATATTCGCCTGTACTCACTTTTTTGAACAATTGTTAAACAATAATTTGTTTTCGCTTTTTTGCCTATTTTTTGCTGGAGGAAAAACTTTTTTTCTGCAAACAGATCATTTTTTTCAGCAAGCAAATTTTCGTTATGATTAAATTTGTAAGAAGTGTATTGTTTTTCGTAGCAGACGATAACCTCTATCAAAGGTTTTTTCATGAAGCAAATTTTTACGTCCTGGCTTGTTTTACGATTGAAATTATCAAATTTTTTTTCTGTGGTCATTTGCTGAAACGTATTCCGCTATAACTAAGGTAGGACAAAATTTACTCAAAAAAATAACTCTCGTTGTTCATGTCAGTTATGCCGCTAGTTGTATGTTGACCGAATTCCGTAAGCCATTTT